TGTGTGTGTGTGTGTGTGTGTGCACAGTGATTAATATTTAAATCATAATAAGATCACAATATTAACAAAGCATTCTTATAATTTCAGTAAGTTAACTTTCCAAAAATAAGTATACAACAGATATTAAAATCAGGACTTCTATTTTAAAAGGACTGAGTGATACAACTGAATTATTTAAATTTATCTTAAAATAACTAAATTATTTAAAGTTATCTTAAATTTGACTGAATTACCAATTATAAGTAACCGGCACAGACCAAACAATTTCTGCTATCTTATTTCATCCTTAGAAAGCACTGTGAGGCACTTATTATCAGCTAAAGAATAGAGGTCAGGCTTCATAGGCTCAGAAAAGTTGAAGAACTTTCACAAAGTCAGATCGTTCCAAAGAAATGAAATGAAACTGAGAGTCACTCATTTGTTAAGTAAGCAATTGATAACAGTGGGTAATGAATGCATTGGGCTACTAACCACAAGGTCAGCAGTTTGAAACCATTAACCACTCCAAGGGAGAAAGGTGAGGCTTTCTACTCCCATAAAGAGTTTGTATTGGCACAGTGTGGGAATTGTGCCCAATCTGACCCCATCACACTGGGGCAAAACAGAGCAGCAAAGAGAGCAAAGCAATGAAGTCCCCAGGGAATACCAAACATAGGCTGTGGGGCCAGAGAGTGGCACCCCATCAGACTCTACTGGAAAACACTCCTAAAGGTCAACAAACAGACCTGGAACTATTCACAGGCTTTCCTTTTGTTGTTGTTGTAGTTGTTGTTTGGTTTTCTTTTGTTGTTTTGTTTTGCTCTTGTTCTTATTATGGTCTCTATGTGTACATCTAGCTAAGATAGGCAGGATAAACAATCCAGAGGAGAAAACAACAGACTGACAGTTCTGTGGAGACGTGGGAAAGGGGGAGTTCGGGGAAAAGAAAAGGGGTGTCAACCCAGGGACAAGGGAACAAAAAGTGATCTAAAATCAATGGCAAGGAGGATATAGGATACCTGGTGGGGCTTGATCAAGGGCAATTAGCAGAGAGAAGTTACTGAAACCCACTATCAAACATGATAGTGGGACAAGAGGAAATTAAAAGGAAACTGAGGAAAGAACTAGGAGGCAAAG